GTCACACTAATTATATTGAGGATAACTCCCATCAAGCTTAACCACTATGAACTGTTTCTTGCTTTGCAAATATTCTCTGCTACCTGCATACTATTTCTATAACACTGATTATTCCTATCAACCTAAAGAATATTATTCAATACATCTCTGAGGAAATACTTATTGATGAACTTTGTATTGTTTGCTACAACCAGCAATTTCTTCTTATTGATTTATTACCTATATGCTTTTCACTTAAGTTTATCACAATCATTAAAACTTCATTTGATTCTCTAATTGCTACTAAACCTCTTTTTTCTTAAAGCTACAGTATTGATAATTAAAAAATTCTCAGTTTCTTCATTATTGTAATTGAGTTCTACAAGCTGTAGTTGAGTTCTAATTCTAAAAACCCTAGTAGCATAACAAAGGCTTGCCGAGGTGATGCAGATGAAACAGACCAACCAGTGAGCATGGACATCAAAACAAATAGCCCAACTACGTTTCTCGGGACAATATCCCTTTCAATGGACAAGATACTGTAGAGGGCCCTAAGGATTATAGAGTCAAAAACTCTACAAAAACTCTACAAAAACTCTACAGACATGAGGTTTCAACAGGGAGGTTTGGAAGATTTGCAGACTAGCATAATTTATTTATATTCAATGGGACATATTACCACCAGGTAAAGGGGTGAGATGGGTAGTACTTGTCTCGTCACACTAATTATATTGAGGATAACTCCCATCAAGCTTAACCACTATGAACTGTTTCTTGCTTTGCAAATATTCTCTGCTACCTGCATACTATTTCTATTGAAGATTATTCCTATCAACCTAAAGAATATTATTCAATACATCTCTGAGGAAATACTTATTGATGAACTTTGTATTGTTTGCTACAACCAGCAATTTCTTCTTATTGATTTATTACCTATATGCTTTTCACTTAAGTTTATCACAATCATTAAAACTTCGTTTGATTCTCTAATTGCTAGCAAACCTCTTTTTTCTTAAAGCTACAGTATTGCTAATTAAAAAATTCTCAGTTTCTTCATTATTGTAATTAAGGAGTTCTACAAGCTGTAGTTGAGTTCTAATTCTAAAAACCCTAGTAGCATAACAAAGGCTTGCCGAGGTGATGCAGATGAAACAGACCAACCAGTGAGCATGGACATCAAAACAAATAGCCCAACTACATTTCTCGGGACAATATCCCTTTCAATGGACAAGATACTGTAGAGGGCCCTAAGGATTATAGAGTCAAGAATGATTACAGACATGAGGTTTCAACAGGGAGGTTTGGAAGATTTGCAGACTAGCATAATTTATTTATATTCAATGGGACATATTACCACCAGGTAAAGGGGTGAGATGGGTAGTACTTGTGCCTGTTCGTATGCCCACCTTGATGTGTGATGGGGAAGAAGATGGCCTGCATTGATAAGATAATCTACACTGAATCTATCTTAACCTGGAAATGGTTTATAGATGACACGTTGATCATCTGGACAGGCACAGAACATTTTTTAGGCTTGTGGACTTCCTGAATGATAATCATTACAGTCTATAGTTCACAGTAGAAATTGTCAACCCATCCTTGAATTTCTTGGATAAGATACTAACGATGGGTGAAGGGGAGGGGATTAAGATACATCTGTACAGAAAATCAAAGGCCACTAACAGCTTCCTAAACTGAGACAGCTATCATCCCATCACACATAAGAAGGTGATCCCTATTCAGTTCTGACACTGAATCTTTCAAGAGTAAAGCTAGAGACATGGGCGAGATGTTCAGAGCCAAAGGCTACCCTAATGTTTGAAAAGAGCTTACAACAGATAGAAAAAAAGAAAATAATGGAACTTGTAATCTCTCAACAAAACAACTTTGATGTATTATGATGTTTAAAGCTTGACCACATTAACATCTTGGATAGATTCTGTTTGTTGCTAAGGCAAGACAACCAGCTGAGGGATGCATTGCCCCCACATGTTTCAATCACCACTAGTAGGGGTAGGAATCTAAAGGACCTTTTGGTTCGTAGCCATTTCCAGTTAAAGTGATCTCCAAGCAATTGGTTATCTAACAAACTGATGGGCACATACCTTTGTGTGGGGTGCAAGGCCAGCAACAATATACAAAAATGCAATGCAGCGGGATTGGTCTATCTACTCACCTATGAATGCAGATTGAAATATGGGGCATATGACATTTAGCCCTTTTAAACACATAATGCTCAAGCATATAAATTCAGCAAGAACTAGTTTGAGACCCCATCTCAAGACACCTCAAACAACATCACAAAGGTGATCCAAAGGGGTCAAGCTGGTCATATAGGACCAATGAAAATAAAATCTGATCAAGAGACTTAGGAGGAGAGAGTGCCAGACTATCTCCGCTATGGTTTGAATTAGGGATTCTAGTTTTTTTTTTTTTTTTTAGTACCATTCATTAAATACGAAGAGGGAATTCTTTAAGAAGACACAGTTTACATTATATAACACTGAGATTGACTTACTGAGAATTGAAGGTAGTACCACCATGTGCAATGGTGCATATCTCTTGTCAATCATTGAGAGAAAGATAGGGGAAACATACTACCACATATTTTAAACATCTTAATTATTGGAATACTGTGACAAGACCAATCTCGCCACTGTGCATTGGAGGAGCCTGGTTGCCCGCCTGCTGCCTTTAGACTATGGCCCCATGTTGAAACGCTTGATTTTCCCTGCAAAGACACGAAACCGGGTCATTCGGTGCTTGCCCTGTTTGAGCGGTGATACCCCAGATAGCTAAGCCATGGAGCCCATTTGTATAATGAAAGACTATGGGAAAGACTTTGGCTCCATGGCAATTGAACTGTATGAGTGTGATCTGAGCACCATTCGGTAATAATGTGCGCTCAGATCTAAGCTATCTGGGGATATGTTGAATGTACCTGTTTTATGCAATAGCTGCACAGTTATATATTTTTATGTATTTTATTGTCTTTTGCTGCCATGTTTTCAAAGGCGTTTTGCCTCTGTCCTTTTTGATAATTGGATTACTTCCCAATTATTTCCAGGATAGAAGACTCTGTGGAACTGGTTTTGGGCAGAAAAGCCATGCTTCATTTGGTCACAAAGGACTACGATCTATCTTTTGAACCACTGCACCGATTTGTATGATTTTGACGTATGTTTATATTTGGAGTATGCTGATTCTGAAAATGTAAGTGAATGTGAATGTGATGCATACTTTTAAAATTATGAATAATGTGGAAAAACTGGATTTCTCTGCCTGTGATAATTACATTACCCATTGGAGGATTTTGTGGGGGAGTATCTGAGTGTATTGTACGTGTTTATTGGTTGTTTTCAAAAACCCTGTGGGTGGTACTAATGTGTAAAAATGTGTATATAAGAACAATAAACCCACAGCTCTGTCCGTTCCTGCTTGACCCTCAAAACAGAGCCTTGTCTCGTTCTTGGGGGGACTTGTATGCTTTTCCAGTTCGACTGCTAGGAGTGTAAACCTATTTGTATGTTTTTTTCCTATTCGGCTGTTTACAGCATTCATATGTTTGAGATCATTCATATGCTTCTCCGGTTCGGTGGATTGGTGTCTACAGTAGCTGCCTGTATATCTGGAAGGGAATATCTCCTAAACAGCTTTTAACCCCATTTTAT